CCCACTAGCACCCAGATACCCCCAAGGTGCAGGGCTTGCCTCTACACTCAGCCAGCTCACTGATGCAAGTGTGAAGCTTCTTTCCATTACAACTGGTGGTGGGGTCACGCTAATATCCACGCAACCTTGCATGAACTTTGCATGTCCATGTCCCTTGCATGTCTACAATCTTTTTGGATGATTTTGAAAGCAGTGGACCTCGAAGTAACCTACCTCAGACATTAAAGAATTGAAATTTCCAAGGTATTAAGATCTCAGAATCGTAATTTTCTTACCTCATTCAATCTGCAATGATATGTGAGATTTTCATCATATACTTTGTTAATATTTTTTTTATTTCTTATACTAACTTGTACACAATGAAGTATCAACTTTGACTTAATCATCACCTACTACACTATAAACTGCATATAGACAGAGATTTTTGTCATCTTCTTAGTGTACTCTGAAAGCAGCAGACCCGTAAGCATGTAAGACATCATTCAGCATGAAGAATCAACATGCAAAGGTTTCCATGAGCTGTGCTTTGTCTTGATAAGGCGTGTGTATATGAAGTGCTCCTAACTACTTTTTTTGTTTATAAAAAAGTAGATGTTCTGTGGGTGCTCGAGCAGTACTGTACGTATCAACCAGAAACTCTGGAACTGTACAATACACAGCCAACTACGTGACACCCTGCAGAGTTATCGAATTAGGCACAGTCTGTGAAACAGAGCAAAGATGTCAAAGGAAGAAACAGCCAGGGCTGAACTCACTGATTTCAGAGCTTTAAGCATGAATAGCTGGGTTTGAGACCACCATAGCACTAGTACTAAAATATGAGGGGAAAATACTAAAAAAGACAGAATTGGAGCTGACATTTGGGATTTCAAATTCTGTATATCAAATCTACCCAACTCTCTGGCTGACCCCTGACCATACATGCCAAAAATTAAGTGCAAAAGTTAAAAAGAGGAAGAAACTGAACACTGACCTTGTGAACAGTCAGTAGTCCACATTCAACTAGGTTAGCAAGCTGGGGGAAAATCCACATCCTTTAGAGAGATATCACGGAACCCAGAGTTTCCACAATATATACTCACAGTGTCTAACATGCAACCTGAAAATTACTCAACCTGTAAAGAACTAGAATATGATTCTTTATTATAAAAGAATATCACATATTTTAAACTGTACTCAGTGACATAAATGAAACGAGCACTTGAAATGAATGAAAACATAAAAACACAAAATAGAAGAAAAATATTTTCACTTACACATATACCAAACATAAATTCTATAAAAGATAATTACAATCCCTGACAAAGAAAATCCTCTGGACAGAGGTAATAGCAAAACAAAGCCATCATAACAACTGTAAAACGCAACAGCAGAAATTATAATTTCTAAAGCAAAAAGAAGAGGGAAAAAAAATTCAGAAAACAAAAATAAAAGCCAAGGAAGATTCAGGGAGAATATTGAAAATTCTAACACATGAGCAACTGAAGTCAAATGGAGAAAAAGAAACAAGATGCGTCATGTATGTATATGAATTCCCTATGATGACTTATCTTTATGTATATCTAAAATATACCAATAAAGGACAGAAAAGATCAAAAGATATACTGAAATACTTACTAACTGAAGTATTATGCTTCAGTGAGCAAATCTGTTTAAAAACCAACAAAAACTGTCACAAAATTGAAACAAAAATTCTGACATGTACTTTACCAACTGGCTATATTGAATTGCTCAGCCAAATCTAGGACTATATAGCTTTGCTGGTGAATTTTTAAAAAGTATTTAGAAAGAAATACCTACCTGTCATACATTATGGGAGAAAAATGAAACACTTTCTGATTCATTTCAATAAACTAATAAAAATGGCAAAATTTTCAAAACTATTATTATAAATTTATATGCCAATATTACTCCGGATCATAGAAGCAACTAAATCTAGAAATATACAAATGTCCTAAGTAGTACTTAACTAAGAACTATAAAGTTTTAATTTAGAAAATGTGAATAGCTAAAATTTACCATATAAAAATATATGGGGAAGTAACAACTTATATTCATTTCAACAGATACAAGACAGAAACACCAACAAAAGCTACCATCTATCCAAGCTCAAAATTGTCAACAACGCTGAAACAGAAGAAACATTTTACCTAACACACAATATCCCCAAAACCTTACAGCTATAGGTTTCAACTGTAAAAACGCAAGCTTTCCTCCTTGTTTGAGAATAAAGGAAGGTTCCTAGACTCACCATTTGTGTTCAGAATTGTACAAGAGATACTAGCAACACAATAATGACGCTGAACTATAGAAGGTATAGGATTGCAGAGGAAGAAGTAAAACGGTTTAAGCACATGATATAACGAACAACTAAAACTAGTGATTTATCAAGACAGCAGAAGATATCATAAAAATTATACTGGAAGGAAAAAATAAAGTAATTTTAAAATGCATTTATAATATTGTTGAAAATGAGGTGAATGGATAAAGAAAATGTGTTTACAGTACGCACAGTGGAGCAATACTCTGGCAAACAGAAAAAGGCACAAGCCTGAGGCCCTCTTAGGTAAGTGGGCACACCTTCAGCTGTAAAGTCAAGTGAGATAAACGAGACCCACAAGCTGAAGCATCACGTTGTTTCTCTTATGTGAGAGAAAGTGTAAGCAAGGAGCAAACGAGAGGACAAATACTAGGAAACAGAAAAATACTTTTTCCAGTGAAAGAGGAACAAGAGATGGAAAGAGGAAGGGAAGTATGAGAAAATAGATTTAAAGGAAAACAACGGAAATCAGAGCTTTGATAAATGCATAGGCAAACAAGGCTCGGCGGGAGAGAAGAGGAAGCAGACAAGGAAGAGGCTTATGAGATGCAATATGTACAGGTACAAATCCCCATGATGAAAATGGCTGTTAGGTACTGCAAATATGCAGTATTAATAAGGAAGTATTTTACAAAATTGTTTAAAAGTGCAAGTGATTTATGGGTAAATTTGACAAAAGGAACATAAGACCTCAGCCTGAAAATAGACAATGCTGCTGACAACTAGTAAAGAATGCCTAAATAAAAGAGATAAACCATATTCAAGAAATGGAAGACTGAACTGCATTCAACACTGTGAAGATGTCAGATTTCCCTAGCTTGTTCAACATATTCAATTCAGTATGTCACATTGTGGAAATTAACTAATGAATTCTTAAATTGACATGGAACTGTAAAGGGCCCATGTAACATCCTCCTTCATGAATAAGCTTTTTTTTGCAATACCAGGGATTGAACTCAGGACCTTGCGCTTGCCAGGCAAGCGCTTATTCTGCTGACTTATCTCCCTGGCTTGAATAATCATTCCTGAAAAGGCACAAAGTTGAAGCAATAATATTTTCTCTCTCCCATATTTATAGAAGCTATAGTAAAAAAATGACAATATGGTACTGGTTTAAGGCCCATAGGTCAGTGGAACAGAGTGAGAAGCTCACAGATAATACACTTCCATGGATATCTGACTTGCATCAACAGTTTCAAAACAATCAGTGGACAGAGAATGATCCTTCAACAAGTAGTGCTAGAAACAGTGAACAGCCATGTGCGGGAGAAAATGAAATTGATCTTTTAGCTCATTAACAGAAGAAAATGTTTCAGATGGGGGAATATATAAAGAGAAGAAGTTTATTTGGCATTTGCTTAGAATTTGGTGAGAGGCGTTTTAAATAGGAGGAAGGCACATGGAGAGACACACGAAGCACACAGCTTAGGTCTCTTCCTCTTTTCCTAAAGCCAGTAATGGGGCACATTCCTCAAGACCTCAAGGGACTCTGTTCATCTCTCAGAGGCCCCATCTTCAAATATCATTAATATATGAATTTGGGTATTAGATTTGCAACACAGCAGTTCTGGAGGACATGGCTCAAGCCATAGCAATACCCTACTACGCCACACCATGCTCAATGCAACCAAAAATAAAAATCCTAATAAATTACGCCCCATCAAAATTTAAACCTTCAGTTTATCAAAAGATTCTTCTAAGAAAACAATAGGTAAACCATAAACCGAGCCAAAGAAATATTTACAAAGTATATATCTAACAAATGATTCAAATTTTGCAAAAATGACTTAGAAATGGTTTAATGACTTAAGCTTTACAGCTGGAGATAGGTATGTGAAAATCTGCACAAAACTATTAATCACCAGGGAACTGCCAATCGGTATCACAAGAAGGCATCAACATGACTAGTAAATGTAAAAGAAAACTTGGCAGCTCCAGGTATTGATAAAAGATGTAAGGCAATCACAGCCAGGCATGCATTATCTGTGGACTTGATAAAAGAGAAAAGCACCTTGGAAAAAAAATAGGAGTTTTTATAAAACTAAATACACATTAATTGCAATATAAGTATGCTACCCAAGAGAAATGGAAATCAACAGTCATAAAATGACTTCTAAGGAAATCTCAACAGTAATTTAATTTACAATAATCCAAAACAGAATAGATATATTCTGGTAAGGGATAGTTATATTCTGGTAAGGGATTATTATTCAGCAATAAAAAGACATGAGCTGCTGGTGCATATACAGTGTGTATGAATCATGCACATGGATACTTGAAAAGAAAAAACATAAATATAAAAAGATTTAAATAAAATTAGAACAGATGACAATTCTGAACATATGTGTGCCAAACATCATTCCAAGCACCAGCTATGGGTAACTGCACTTCATTTTTAACCATCCAATTCCATATTAGAAATAAGGAAACTAAAGTGAAAAGATGGGTGGCCCCGTCACTGACAGGACTCAAGCATGCTTTCTTAGGGCTCCATAATTCACACTAGTCATACAGAAAGACAGACTCTCTAAAGTCACTAAGTCAAGTTTTAATTCACGTTCAATGTACATGCAGAAGTGACGGCTAAGAGAAGACAACTCTAGGAAACACCAAACATGGATGAATTAGACAACGGCTTGAGACTCAGGCTAACACCCCCCAGTATGACCTCATGCCTTACCTTAGGAAACTGCTTTACAGGAATGAGCACTTTCTGTCCCAGCTTCATGTTCTTATTAATCACCACATCAATGTACTTCTCTTCATCCTTGCTTTCTCCTTTTTGAAACTTTTCTATTTCTGTGGAGGCAAAAAGAGAGCCATGAAGTGTATGACTCGGAAGCACAGAGGCTGCAAGTTCGCTTGGCTGTAGTATGAAATAAAATCTAAAAACATGGACTATTACATTGCTATTGGTTTTTCCAATAATGATATACTTTCTATTTCAGCAATGAATCTTCATAAATGGAAAAAAATTCATTTGTCATGAAACTATCAAGTCAAATTTCAACTGCTAATGGAGGAGAATAATAGATTAAACAATAAAAAATTCAAATAAGAATAAAGTTCTTTGTGGCCTTCTGGAATCCTAGAGAAAGACTGATCACATAACAAAGAAAAGGCAGAAAGCATTCTCAGTTCAGCCTCACACAGCACTGACATCCCTCTTCCTCAATCCTGCCTGGCTTTCTAAAGCATATACAGTCAAGAACTGACTCTAAGACAGCATTAAAATTCTTCATCTTCCACCAGACACCTCCCTAAGCAAGCCTTCGCTCCTTATACATGGCCCATTACCAACTACACGCTAATGGTTTTCCTCATCTCTTTGCTCTACTTGTGATGTTGCAATGATGATTTCATCTTCATCTTTCAAAGCTCAACCTCATTAAATCTCTCTTGTCATGTGCAATTGTCCCTTTCTGGGAAGCAGCTGAAATGGGAAAATCAATCACTCCTACCTGGATAGTCATACAGCACTTTAGGTGCGCTGCAGCTACTATTCCTAAATGCACCTCTCCCACCAGAACACACCTTTCTTGCAGGTTGAATCTGTTTGTTCATTCGATGGATATTTACTACCAGAAGTCTACTGTGTGCAGGCTTCAGAGCCTGGCAATGCTAGCACAAGGCTTCATTCATGCATTCACTAGCATGTGATAGAACAATGGGCGCACAACCGAATGAGTTTCAGGTAGTGGGTCCATTTCCCCTTTATGGACCAGCTGTCTTGTAATAGCAGCACAGGAGAGGAGCAAAAGCTGTCATCAGTTGTAAAAAGGGACAACTCATTCACCCACTTTGCTTACTGAAATAGGAATATTTCAAAATTTAAAAGGTGCTTTCCCTGGACCAGGCACCTGGCACTCATAACATAAATCTCAAGTTGCTAAACTACATTACTATTAGCTTAAATAAGTCTTAAATTGTGTTGGAATATAATGCTTCAGTCCTTACAACTTATTTTTTAAAGATTTGCTTCAGCCTCACATCAGGGTGAAAAAGCACGCAAGCATGCAGTTTTATACCCTCCACAACCAGCAGAGCAGACAGCCCTGGCGCCCAGAGTCAACAAGCCGATTCAAATCACGGCCGCCTTACTCTTCTCTGGACTTCATGCCTTCCAATTACTAATGTCAAAACCAGTTAAGACTTTCATTTCAATAGACACCATTCAATCACTAATTTTGTATGTCTAGTTAACTGAAAATTGTGACTACTATGATTTTTTCATGAAATCCAGTAAAATGCAATGAAAAAATATGGAGAACTGTACCAGGTGATGTATAAAACCTCAAGACAGCTACCGTGTGTTTACTTTATGAATAACAAGGAGCCGGGGAGATGGCTCAGTAGAATAAGCGCTTGCCTGGCAAGCACAAGGGCCTGAGTTCAATCCCCAGTTCTGCCAAAAAAAAAAAAAAAAAAAAAGAATAACATATGCTAAAAGACGGCAACCTCAGGGGGACAGCCACACCAAGGTGGATGTGATCTTTAGTTCTTTACAGCAAAGGAAAGAAAACTAACAGAAAAAAGCTCCTCATATTTTCTGGGTCAAATGCACAAAGAGAATTTGACTTTCACTAATCCCCAGATTACATTTGGTTTCATACAGCTTCACATGCCAAGCCTATCTCCCAGATCAGAAATAATAAACAAATGCATAATTAAGTTTATATAATATGCAAAGTTAAAATGCTATGTTTTCAAACCACATATACCTAATTTCTGTCACTGCAGTGCCTATTTTAGTTTTTATTTGTTCATTTGGTTTTGCCCTGGCCCAGTAGAGTTTCTTAAGTAATGGCCTCTTCTCTATTTAAACTTCCTAGGGCCAGCCAAATGGCTCAGCAGATTAAATCCCCTGCACATAGGCACAGGGGCCAGGGATTTGATCCCCGAGCCTGCTGTGCTGCCCCACCACCAGGGCATGCTGAGAGGGCAATTGAGACTAAGTGTGGTGGTGCACGCCTGTAATCCCAGCTCTTGGGAGGCTATAAACAGGAAGATCACTATAAGTCTAATCTAGTAGTAAGACCTTGAATATCCTGTAGACCCTTCCCTAAAATACAAAAATAGATAAATAAATAAACTTCCTAATCTATAAAAAAAGAGAAAATAAAAGATAAGAAATAAGGACATAGGTCCTTTACAAAAGAGAAGGTAGGTAAGGTCTTTCTATATTTTTTCAGATTTTTTTCATAAAAGGATGTTGGATTTTGTGAAAGGTTTTTTTTGTGTGTCTACTACTTTTTGTTTCTGCTTATGTGATATATTACAACTATTGATTTGCATATGTTGAACTATCTTTGTATCCCTGTAGAGAAAAGGCCAAAGGAAAGAACCATTCTGGGCTCAATGGTTCTGCTCGGGTTCACAAATGTGTGCTCCGGAACCCAACTAGAAGCCAGAGGATGAGGGCAGTGCTAATGCCGCATCCACGTCAGCCTCCTACACACAGAGAGGTTGGAAGGGGGCCCGGGAAGGTACTACGATGCCCAACACTACATCCACTGCAAACTGGAGGAGCCCTTACAGAGAGCTTCTGAACTTCCTTTGCATCCAAGAGGTTCCTTCCGGGCACAGTGCCGATGAAATTATACAATAAAACACTCAAAATAATAAAAATTATTTTAGAAATCCCTTATTGCAAGAGCACTAATTATATTACTTGTTGACAGTAACTCATCCATTACAAATTTGCTTTTTTGACTTAAATAATCTCTTTATCTTAACAAATTCATAATCATGTCCATTTTACAGTGAGATCCTGAGAATTCACATTTGAGAAGTTTGCTAAAGGATAGGAGGCTAAAACCAGAATCCCAGGATTCAAACTCACATTTATCTGACTTCCAATGCCTATACCTTTCTTCCTTTTTAACTATAAAAAAAAATAATAAGTTTTGCTACCTTAACCATTTTTAAGTGTAAAGCTCAGTGATGTCAGGCACATTCAATCCCTGGGGAACAGATCAACTTCTGCATCTTCTAGAATTGAAGCTCTGTACCCATTAGGGGAATCACCTGATGCTTTCCTTTCCCCCTGTCCCTAGTAACCACCCTCTACCACCTTCTATTTCTATGACTCTCACTCCTTGAGCTACCTCAAAGAAGTGGAGTGTGCAGTAGGTGTTTTTTGTACTAGCTTATTTCAATTACTAGGATATATGTGATGTTCTAGGACTATGTGACAATATTTCTTTCAAGACAGAATAATATCACATGAACATATCACACTTTTTTCCCATTCATTGGCCTATGCACATTTGGATTACTTCTGCCATTCCTTTTTCTCCCTTTCTTCTTGAAATGGCATGCAAAAATGTTCTTAAAGCTATAAATCTCAAGGGATGGATTTTTTTTAATGTAACTGTGTCTGCTCATCCTTCTACTTTATTTTCCTAGAGTACAGTAAAGCTTTTATATGAGAAACATGTTTCAGGATCACAAGAACATCTTGAAACTTCAGAGCCTCTATGCTGGCGATCTTCAGTGAGGTTTTAAGGTGGAATTAAAGGAGCACTTGAAGGAATTTTGCAAAGTATCATACGTGGAGGTCCACCTGGAAGACTCTCTTTGGAAGAAGAGCAATTATCACCATTTTGGCTCAACCTGGCCCTATTTCCATATGCTGATATGTACAGAGCTGGGAAGGACTTTCCTTATCATTTCAGTTGGCTTTAAGCAATGCAAATTGGTTCAGCAGAGATGCTGATGTGCAGCCTTTGACACAAGGCGTCAAGGCATGTTACCCTACCTGCTTATTTCCCAAAAAAACCTGTGTGAGCCAGGCATGATGGAGCCCTGTGCTCCACACTGTAGGCTGAGATTGGGCCTTAAGATAAGCGACTTCCCAGGGCATATAAGAGTACACATCAGGGCTGAAGCACTGACCTCAAAATATTAGATACTACCTGACATGTGTTATGCAGATTATTCCTCCTGCATATCCTTTTCTCTGCATATTGCTGAGGTGATTTCAGGCCTCCAAAGTAGCCCTACTCATAGCAGTCACCTCCTTCCCACCATACTCACTGTCACTCATCCTTAAGCCACTCCCTTCTTCGTGAATTACTAAAATCTGGATTTGGCCTTAGGTTGAGGCATTTATCCAGTTAACCATCAATCTAGATGGACTTAGGCTCCTCTTGGCTCCGTGAAACTACAAACATGCTTTAGTGTCTCCATTCTCACCATAGGTTGCACTAGAAGTGGCATACTGGAATTAATTCATTAATATCTTTCCCATAGGTTTACAAGTATAAACTTGTCAAGCTGTGAACTCTTTAATCAAGGGCAGTTCAAGTCATAAATCCAACAGAAAAAGCAAAGAAAAATTCCTCTACCGTCAAAGTAAATTACAGGGTAAGGTGACCACAAGGAATCATATAGAAGTCTTGTTTGCATAGTGGCTGAAAAAAAAAAAAAAAAAAAAAGAGGAGAAGTGTAAGCCACACATGCATAGATGCCAGCACCTAAGAGATTAACTCGAAGGGTACTTTAAGGTCCTGCATCTTGCTTCCACCTTACAACAGATCGACTTCCAGTGTAAGATAATGCAGAAATGAATACTCTGGCCCAGCGCAAGAAGAAGGAACAGCAATGGCAAACGGGCCCACGGTTTGGCAACCCAATTCCCTCCAGTGCACTTCAGTACTGGCCGATGAATTCCTACCTGCCACTGTCATTAAGAGCTCTCCAGGAAGGAAGTAAGAAGCAAAGCCTCAAAGAGTGGAAGACCCGTGGAACTCACCTACCTCGCCGCTAACTGCTGGAGTGCCAATCCCGATGCCGGC